AACCACCTTCTCTGTCTGAGATTAAGCTCTTTCTGGGTGAACACATATTGAAGACTCTTGTGATAAGTGAATATGTCAACATGCACACCATACAAGTAATGACGCCAAATCTTCAAAGCGAACACCACCGCAGCCAATTCTAAGTCATGGGTTGGGTAGTTCTTCTCATGAACTTTCAACTGTCTGCAGGCATAAGCTATCACCTTGCCATTCTATATTAGGACACAACCCAAGCCAACTCTAGATGCTTCACAATACACCACAAAACCTTGAGTACCTTCTGGTAAGGTCAACACTAGGGCAGTAGTCAACCTCTTCTTCAATTCCTGAAAGCTTTTCTCACAAGCTTCAGACTATTGAAATTTCACTAGTTTTTGAGTCAACTTCGTCAAAGGAGATGAAATAGACGAGAACCCCTCTACAAACCTTCTATAATAGCCAGCTAAACCCAAGAAACTCCTAATATCAGTTGGAGATGTGGGTCTAGGCCAATTCTGCACTACCTCAATTTTCTGAGTATCAACTTTAATTCCCTCTCCAGACACAATATGGCCTAAGAATGCCACAGACTCAAGCCAAAACTCACACTTAGAGACTGTGGCATACAACTCCTTATCTTTCAAAGTCTGAAGAACTATTCTGAGATGACTAGCATAATCTTCTTCATTCCTTGAATAGATTAGTTTGTCATCAATGAAGACGATAACAAACATATCTAAATAAGGTTTGAAGACTCTGTTCATCAGATCCATGAACGTTGCTGGTGCATTAGTTAAACCGAATGACATGACCAAAAACTCATAATGACCATAACGGGTCATGAATGCTATTTTTGGAATGTCACATTTCCTTACTTTCAACTGATAGTAACCTGACCTGAGGTCTATCTTAGAAAAACAAGAAGCACCCTGAAGCTGATCGAAAAGATCATCAATCCTTAGAAGATAATACTTATTCTTGATGGTAACCTTGTTCCATTAACGGTAATCTATACACATCCTAAGGGAACCATCTTTCTTTCTCACAAACAAGACCGGAGCGCCCCAAGGTGAGACACTTGGTCGAATAAAGCCCTTATCTAAAAGATCTTTCAACTGCTCTTTCAACTCTTTCAACTCAGCTGGTGACATTCTGTGTGGCAGAATAGAGATAGGACGAGTATTTGGAATAAGATATATATCAAAGTCTATCTCTCTCTCAGGAGGGACTTCGGGAAGATCATCTGGAAAGACTTTCGAAAACTCTTTTACTACTGGAACTGACTGAATAGGAGGTACTTCAACACTTGAGTCACTAACTCAGACTAAGTGATAGATACAACCCTTCGAAAGTAACTTTCTCGCCTTAAGGTACGAAATGAAATGACCCTTAGGCACTGTTGAACTACTACTCCACTCTATGACAGGCTCATTAGGAATCTGAAAGTTGACAACTCGAGTTATACAATCTACTGATGCATAACAGGAATGAAGTCAGTCCATACCTAGAATGACATCGAAATCTACCATGTCCAATTCAACTAAATCAGCCATGGTGCTTTTGTGATTGATGGAAATGACACAATCACGATAAACTCGCTCAGCTAGAATAGACTCCCCAACAGGTGTAGAAACACAGAAGGGTTCACAAAGTTTCTCAGGGATAACATCAAACTTATTTGCAACATAAGGGGTTACAAAAGATAAAATTGCTCCTGGGTCTAACAAAGCATAAACATCAAAAGCAAAGACTTCGATAATACCAGTAACAATATCTGGAGAGTTCTTTTGCTCTTGACGACTGGTGATTGCATAGAGACGGTTTGTTCCTCCGCCCATACTTGAAGTAGCTCCTCTAGGTGCAGCTCTCTCTAGGGGAGCAACTGGTGAAGATTGGGCTCTATTGCTCTGATTTCCACTACCTTGCCTGTTCTTTGGGTATTCTTTCAAGAAATGGCCCTCTTGTCCACACTTGAAGCAACCTGTCTGGCCCTCACGACACTTACCTGGGTAGGTTCTACCACACTTAGCGCATGCAGGAGTCTACTTACCTCCTTGTGTCACACTACCTTAAGACTGTGCAGGTCTAGTTCTGAAGTTTTGCGCATTCTGTCCCTCAGCTTCTCTTCTTCCACCTGCTAAACATAAACCATCAACCTTGATATATCCATATCCCCGATAATAATTGCAGCCCTTCCTTCCTTACTCGATATACGAGACAATACAGCAACAAACAAGCTCATTCTACTCCTCATGTGCGCAACCATTTCAGGAGCATAGCGAGACATTTTGGGTGAATTTCAACCCATACTCATGAATGCTTAGAGACTCTTGCTTAAGCGTGAGGAACTCACGTACCTTATCCTCTTTCAGTTCTCGGGGAAAGAAACGCCCCAAGAAAGCCTTTTCAACACATGCCCAACTCGTAGGTGGTGCATCCTCAGCTCTACCCCCTTTCTACTGATCAAACCAAGTCCTAGCAACATTTTTCATCAGATATGTAGCTAGCTCAACTCTCACAGTATCAGCAACATGCATTACATCAAACACCTTCTTGAGTTCTTCAATGAAATTCTCTAGGTCCTCTGTAGTGCTCGAACTAGTGAAACTTGGGGGATTCATCCTCAAGAACTCACGAATCCTTGAAGTGTCGGCCTCTTATTTTCGAGCTCCTTTCTACTGCCCAACCTGATTGGTCACAACTTGGCTAAGCATTCTTATAGCCTCTCTAAACTCAGCATTAGAGACTTGTGCTTGATGTTGCACTTCAGGTGCATTAGGTAACTGTAACGCCCCGTATTTTAAGTGTACAAGTTCTACACATATGGAACCTGATTTAGCTTGTTGGTATAAGTAATGAACTTGATTTCCTAGATGAATGGTGACAATAAAGAAGCTCTAAGGCTAACTCCCGTACATTGCAATATTGCATGATCGAGTGAACTTTAAATTTTAGAAGTATTTAAATTCTGGATCGAAGGGCTATATGTAAGTCTAAAATTTAAGGTGATCAAGTGTATATAAGTTTTGAGTTAAACTAAGGAGATTACGCTCGGAAAATGAATAAAAGAATTCAGGTGCTTGTTGGACTTTATAAAGCTAGCAAGTGTCACCTACTTGCTTAGCTCAAATGGGCTAGGTAGATGGGGAAGATTAGTTCATGCATTATTGGGCTCACTTGAGGCCCAAATTAAATAAAAAGGAAAAGGGAATGGAGATGAGGCCTCACACCAATCTGTCAAAGTCCAACTACTTGAGCCCAATAAAGATTAAGGCCCAAATTAAGGGTATAATTTTGGCCATGGCTTAATATTAGAAAGGGGAAAGATTGTAGCCCAATATGAGTACATAAAGGGCCCAATTTTTGTATATATAATTCCAAGTAGATGCATCACCTACTTGGACCTCTTTGACAAATTAGAGGTTGATATTAAAACTTAAGAGGTGTGGAAAATAAGACCTTTATAATCCCCAAGTTGCTGGCCAGTTCCTCACTTTTAAGAATAGATAAAAAAAATTAGATTTCTCTCTAACCTTCTCCTCTCTCTTTTAAAGCATAGCAGCAACCACAAGTTTCCTAGGGTTCTTGGATAAACCCAAGCCCTTGCAAGGGAAGCTCAAGTTATTGAATAGTTAAAGTTAGAAGAAAGCGAGTTATAAGAATTAAGGTAAAGTGACTGCCCTATCTTTGTCTTCCTTAAACACGAGTTTAATTATGATATTTTAAGTATACTGTTGATAAGAACTCGTGGGATGATGATGGGAAACTATGGTTTTCACGTCCTCTATTGTATGTTGGATTGTTAGGACTGTTTTGGGACAGGTTGATATGTAAACATATTGGGGACAACTTTGTTGATGTCTGGAAAGGGTGTAAATTGAAATATAGGTGTGTAGTGTACAAATGCAATAAAAGAATGCAGGAATTGAAAGAACACCCTTAGTTTGGTAATTACGGGTTTCCTGCCCGAGCATTATTGTTGAGTGAGATTGGACTGCCTAAGCATGTTTAGTAACTACTAATACTAGTTTATGACCTACAACTATTGTAGATAAGTATTTGAAAAGAAAGGAAGGTACTTCAAGGTAACTACAAGGTGGTACAACAAGGTATGTAAGGCTTTTCGATTTCCTAGTAATTGACATGAAATCTAGACTCGTCCTCGACACATAGAGGCAGCCTACCAGCTCCAACACGACTTATGACCTTGTTCTCACTCTTTAACATGTCTGCACGTTCCAATACATGTTTATTGTCAAATATGTATATATACATTGAATACCCTGTATGAGTTCTCCTTTTAACTTAATAAGGTCCATATATTATTTCAGCTCCTATGCCTTTCATTAATTGTGTAACTACTCTCTACGTTGTTGTTCCTGCATTATATGATTATTAGACGTCACTTGTTGACTACATAGTCCCACAACTCAAAATGCTATGACCACGAAAAGAATCATCTCAAATATTAATGGAAAGATATTAAATGAATATGCTTATTGAAAGGTGGTATCCCATGGTTGGAAGAATCACCTAGCATGGGTAGATCCCAATATTACGGGTGGTATCCCAGGGGTTAAAGGAAATCCTAGCATGGGTCGATCCCAATTTATATGTCTACCACTGATCAGCTGGTCATTTGTATTATATGTTGTGCACAGAGTGTAAAGTAAAGAATGATAAAGTAAAGAAAAGAATGTAAAGTACCTGATTCCATAATATGAGAAAAGGTGGTGTTGTATCCTTACATTGGTATATGATTTCATTTGATTTCATATTTCACATACAGTACTTTATACCTTACATACTCAGTACATTCTCCCGTACTGAAGTCTCTCTCGGGGGACCTGCAATTCATGCTGCAGGTACAGGAGCTAGTAGATCTCTCCAGTAGGAGAACAGGACATCCAGCGGCTATTGGTGAGCTCCAGGTTAATTCGGGCCTTTTCGAGTCTATAGCATGTATTTTGGTATTGTATAGTAGTTGAGCGTAAGGCGGGGCCTGTCCCGACCTTAACCCCATAATGTTTTATAAGTTAGAGGCTTTTTAGACTATGTAAAGTGAAGTGTGGTTGTGCCTCGTGTCTTAGACATCATGGTCCCAATGGCTAAGTCATGTGCACTTTCTTTTGGCTTGTTATTACTGTCTACTTTCATGAAAACATGTTATCCACTATGGCAGCACCTTTAAATGTTCATAGATAGAGCATAATTACAGGTTGGTTCTCCCGAGCCTTCTCGGCAATGGGTGCCGGTTCACCTTAATGGGATTTTGGGTGTGACAAAAGTGGTATCAGAGCAGGTCATGCTAGGGAGTCCACAAAGTCGTGTCTGTGTAGAGTCCTGCTTATGAATGTGTTGTGCACCACATTTATAAACAGGAAGCTATGAGACTTGTATGTTTTGTTTCTTTTCTTTCATTTCTTAGATTGTGCGATAGAACCAATATTGTAGGCGAATCGTATCTAACTTTTGAATTGCTTTATTATAGCAAAAATGCGGGTTATGAGGAGTAAAAGTACAGGTAAGCGAGTAGATGTAGCTACCCAAGAAGGGACCAGGCAACCACTACCTAATCAAGTTGTTCAAAGTGAGGCTCAAGATGAGTCTCTATCACAGACTTCCCCAACCTCTCCATCTCCAGAATATCTAAGGAGGGAAGCTGCACCTCAAGAACCCACTATTAATGTTACCGAGCAAGATTTGAGGAATGCGGTTCAATTATTGACTCGTATAGTTGTTGGCCAAGGTCAAAGGCAAGAAGGCCCAGTTGTGGGTATTGGTGGTGCATATAGGCCAGCTAGCACGCGAATATGTGATTTCCTTAATTTGGACCCTCCATCATTCACCGGGTCAGATCCTATTGAAGAACCGCAAGACTTTATTGATCAAATCCAACGAACTTTGGATGTTATGCACGTGAGTGGTAAAGAAGTTGTTGAGCTAGCAACATATAGATTAAAGGGTGTGGCTATATTATGGTAAGAAACTTGGAAGCAATCTAAGAGTACATATGTACCTCCAACTACTTGGAAAGAATTTAAAAAGGCGTTTCTTGATCATTATTTACCATTGGAGATTCCAGAGGCCCACGCAGATCAGTTGTCAATTCTTCACCAAGGGGGTATGAGCGTGAGAGAGTACAGTCTCCAATTTAATTCCTTGTCCAGGTATGCTCCCAATGTAGTTGCTACTATGGAGGATAGAGTTCATCGATATGTGGATAGATTGGATTCGTATCTGGTTAGAGATTGTACTAGTGCTTATTTAAATAAAGACATGGATATAGCAAGGATGCAAGCTTTTGCACAAAAAATGGAGGATCAAAAGCAGAGAAGAAGGGCACAATAGACAGAAAGGGGTCAGTCCAAGAGGGCTAAGTTTATCGGGAAGTTTACAGCACCCCAAGGTGAGTTTAAGCCTCGGTTTTCTAATAGACTAACTAGGCCATCATTTCCCTACTCTACAGCTAGCGTTCCACCCCAACTTCAATGGCCGAGAGGCAATCAGTTTAGGCAAAAGAGTGAGAGCCAAGGTTCACGGACATTGGGATATCCAGAGCAGGGCAGTACAAGCCAATCAATGACTCCTAGACAGCCTTGTAAACAATGTGGGAGGACTCATTTAGGTATATGTTGTATTGGAACAGATGCCTATTATTGGTGTGGTATACCAGGGAACCTAATGAGAGATTGCCCTAAAAGGCGCATTGGTGATATAGCACAACCTACTGGATCAGTTGTTGCATCGTCATCATCGGTGCCTCCCTTAGGTAGAGGTCAACAGGTTCCTACAGGTCGTGGTAGAGGTGTTAGAGGAGCAGCTAGTTCTAGTGGAGTCCAAAATCGCACATATGCTCTAAGGAGTCGACAGAACTTGGAGGCTTCACCTAACATAGTAACAGGTACATTGTTCATCTTTTCACATAATGTATATGCGTTAATTGATCCTGGTTTAACACTATTGTATATAACTCCACTAGTTGTTGGGAAGCTTAAAAGAACACCAAAATTATTGAACAACCCATTTGAAGTATCTACACCAACCGGTGAGTCTATTATAGCAAGAAGGGTCTATCGTAAGTTCATAGTAACTGTTTATGATCGTGATACATTGGCTAACCTAATTGAACTAGAAATGGTTGCATTTGATGTTATAATGGGTATGGATTGGTTGGCCTCTTGTTATGCCACGATGGATTGCCGAACTAAGAGAGTGCACTTTCACTTTCCAAATAAGGCAGTCCTTGAATGGGAAGGCAATGTTGCAGCGCCAAGGGGTAAGTTT